AGTAACAATATATGTACTGAAACTTCTACCAATTTTTATATGACATTGATAAATCTGATTGTTATTTTAATTTTTTGTTTAAATGTAAGAGAAATCCCACTCACAAGAAAAGTGGGGACCTATGAACATGTTCAGACAAGAGACTGACGGTAATTCCAAATATACCACCTGAAACTGTTACGGGGTTATGAATACAAAACAATGTATTGTTAAGATCAACATATAAATACCTAATTTCCTTGCTCAAAATCTATAGAATATTTCATGTATTCAATTGAATTGTTGTTTGAATAAATAACTACAGCATTAAATTCCATTAAATCATAAAAAGCAAGTGCATTGGTTCCATCAATATAAAGTTCAAGCACATCCAAATTGTTATCTTGACAAAAGCTGCAAATGACTGAGAAATCGTAGTCAGATAGAATGAGCAAAAATCCAACAGGTAATTCCATGTGGTCCTCAGAACTAGAATCCATTTTTTTTAAATTGCATTATGGGAGAAATAGCCTCATAATATTGGGCATATTTGGACAAAACTTATGTGTCTGGTGAATGCAACATCTAAAAGAAATAAAAATATTGGGTTGGAGAAATAGCCTCATAATATTGGGCATATTTGGACAAAACTTATGTGTCTGGTGAATGCAACATCTAAAAGAAAAAAAAATATTGAGGCATGGACAAATAAAATGTTTTTCATTGCGGTGCTAAAATGGGAAACACTGCTACATGTACATTATGATAGGATAGGGAGTGAAAATAAAATATAAGCTATAACATTCACTTTTATTTTTATAAGAATTTCTCCGCAAATAGTGAAAGCTCTCTCTCAAAACAGATATCAAAAAAAATGTTGGCCTAGACAAACATGTATCAGATTCTATCATACATTCATCCAGTACTTTTTGACTGCAAATAAAAAAAATCACACACAGGAACAGGAACACAAGGCCTAATAAACAGCTGGTCCATGAGCGCATGATACGCCCGACGTCTTGTGTGGAAGTTTTATGCAATAATCATAAATAGTTTCTGATAAAGTTTTAAGCAATAACCATTTATTGTTTTTGAGACATGGCGGGACATGTGAAACCCCCCCACCCTGTTTTTGTTTACAAATATCACTACAATAAAATTTTGAATCAAACCAAAAAGTATACAGATCTTTAGATTAATATAAAAAAGAAGTGTGTACAGTTTCAAGCAATAATCATAAATTGTTTTTGAGATACGGCGTGACATGTAAAAAAAAACCTCCCCTTTATTTACAAAGTACTCAATAACTCAATAATAAAATTTTGAGTCATCACCAAAAAGTATACAGATCTTTAGATTAATATAACAAAGAAGTGTGTAAAGTTTTAAGCATGTTCATAAATCGTTTTTGAGATACGGCACGACATGTAAAAAAACCCTCCCCCTTTTTTACAAAATACTCAATAACTCAAAAATGAAATTTTGAATCATCAGCAAAAAGTATACAGATATTAAGATTAATATAACTAAGAAGTGTGTAAAGTTTTAAGCAATAATCAAGAATCGTTTTTGAGATACGGTGCGACATGTGAAAAAAAACACACCCCTGTTTTAGTTACAAAGTGCCGTAACTCAAAAAGTTTAAATCTTATTTTCACCAAAAAGTATACAGATCATTTGACCATCATAAAAAACAACTATATTAAGTTTCATGAAATTTAGATAAGTCGTTCTCAAGTTACTGTGCGACATGTTTACGCCGGACAGACGGATGGACACCGGACATTTGTATACCATAATACGTCCCGTCAAAATTTTGACGGGCGTATAAAAAAATACATGTATCTGAGTTTGGGTAACCTGAAGTCGGTTTCACAAAATCAAAGTGATGGAAATCACTCATGGAAGATTAGAAGAGTAGTTTGAATTATTTCATATTTATAAGGTATGGTGGGGAAAATGAACATTTATAAAGCACTATTGCTGAAAATTGCATTTACAGCAGGTCTTTAGAAGAAAATAATGCTTTTCCAGTATGAGGATAAAATGAGCTCAAATTTAATAATATAGGTCTCTTTATTTGCACAATTTTATTTAAACTGCAGTTTATATCTTATCAAAATTATGTTGCTGGTTCTGAACATGTTTCAAAAAAACAAAAAATTGCAAAAATTCTTCTAGTAAATGTTACCAACTATCCTTGTAAGGCCACTTTTTTTTATTAGTTGGTTTACGGGATTCTTCTTCAAAAAGGAAGGGTAGGAGGTCGAAAAAAAAATAAAAATAAAAATAATGAAAAAATATAGGGTAGGAGGTCGAAATAAAAATTAAAAATAAAAATTGGAATTAATACTGTTTTTTTTTTACCAAAAATGGAGAGAAACAAACAATGACATTACTCTATATAATAAACGTATTTACACTTTTGGTATTTTGCTGTATCTTGCCTCCGAATGACCTTAGATCGACTCCAAATCACCTTTTGACGTCAAGCAACAATCACTTTTCAATTGTGACGTCAAATATTTTAAATTATGATGTCAAAGTTTACGGGAACATGTGTGATTTTACGTAATGGCAGACAAATTTGCATACAAGTGTTAATACGTCTATAGTATTATACTAACCATGTATGCAGATCGTTTCATAATTTGGTATTAATTCTTGTTGTTTTAATTTAAAATAAATGTGTTACAAGGAGTCCAATGTCAATGTAGATTGATGAAAGCAGATATATATATATATGTCCCTGATGAAAGGGAAATGTCTTTTCCAATTGCATTTCTCCTTGTTCTGTGTATTTATTTATCAAATTTAGATCAGGGAGTGACAAAATTCCTCATAACACAATACAATCTTATTGAGGAAATACCATATGCACTCTGCATGTTATATGCCTTCATAATGACATATGTGGTACATGAAAACATGTCCTTTTTAGGCTTTTTATGCTATTTTACACTGCTAAGTATTAGCTTATATCTCGAAGTGTCCTGTGATTGTCCCTTTTTATAAAATTAATGTCGAAGTGATTTTAATTGTCAGGCATTCTATGACAGTAATACATGTTCTGATTTTGTGTTGGGATCTTGTTCACCATATCCCATCTCTGTTCCATTAAATCTCAATGGGTACCGTTGGATGGTATTTAGGTATTTATATAATAAGACCAATTAATCAGACACCCATCCCTGGCAGCAAGTAAAAAGATCCTTCCCTTTAGGGACGTCTGGCAAGGCTATTTAAAAACAAATATGGGATGCCAGGAAGCCTTGCCAGACGTCATAATTATTTGGACTAGTACCTCATATGTGTAATGGAACTAAAACAGCCCCTTTCAACGGGTTTCAAACTTTCTGATCAACACTTGAACCAAAGTTGACCCGCCGTCAACCTCACTGACTGTCTGAAACAGGGGTTCAAATCACAGGCACTTGTTTCTATCCATAGGAAGGTCGACTATCCATATAAATAGAATATGGATAGAAACAAGTGCCTGTGGTTCAAATTAGCGGTGGTCTGACCTTTTAAACCAAAATTCCCAAACGATCTCAAAAATAATTTTTATTTTTATTATTCATGACTACGATGTTCATTTTGTTCAACCGCTAGATTTACGCCGAAAATCTCCAACAATTAATGTGTAAATCTAAGTACATGTAAGTATAATTTGTAAAATCGTATCTGGTCCTCCATTTTCAACTGGTTCCTTTTCACCGCATTAGATCATGATGAAATGTTTACTGAACAGGGAACCGCCTTTCAACTGGTTCCTTTTCACCACATTAGATCATGATGAAACGTTGACTGAACAGGGAACCGCACGGGATTTTCGAATCCACTCCGAGGGTATTCTGACTGGAAGAAGAAAGACCGATCTTTTTTTTATCATGTTTTTATTTTTATTTGTACTTCTTCAAACAGAAAAGGGTCGGCGGAATTAAAAAAAATCTTCAAAATCGATTTTATTTTTATTTTAAAATCGTGAAATACAGGGTCGGCGGATCCGTAAACCAACAAATAAAAAAAAAGTGGCCTAAGACATAAATCTAGACCAACAGCTAACAAGAGGCTGTCACAACGACAGCAAACCGGATTTATTAACATTTATTTGTGTCCTAGCAATATCACAAGAACCATTACTGATGAATGGTGACTGAAATTCGTCAATATCAAATTTGACCTCCATTTTGTCATCAGTAACAACATATTAAAATTTGGGAAGCTTTGGTAGAACAGTTCATGAGTTAATGCACGGACACGACTGGAAACTCCATTTTACAATCTTTCAACAACCATAACTCCTGAACGGTAAAAGTCAAAATCGTCATTATTGAACTTGACCTCCATTTTGTCATCAGTAACAACATATTAAAATTTGGGAAGCTTTGGTAGAACAGTTCATGCGTAAATGCACGGACACGACTGGAAACTCCATTTTTCGGAGTTCGCCATTATAGAACTTGACCTTCATTTAGTTGTCAGTAACAACATATTAAAATTTTAAAAGCTTTGGTTGAACGGTTCATGAGTTAATGCACAGACAACATTTGATTGCCGCCCGCCCGCCCGCCCTACATCCCCAAATCAATAACAGACATTTTTGTCACAAAAATCCGGTTAAAAACTTAGAATCAACAACAAACAAGAGGCTGTCACAACAACAGCAAATCGGATTTATTAACATTAATTTGTGTCCTGCCAATATCACAAGAACCATAACTGATGAACGGTGAAAGTGAAAATCGTCAATATCAAATTTGACCTCCAGTTTGTCATCAGTATCAACATATTAAAATTTGAAAAGCTTAAGTTGAATGGTTCATGAGTAAATGCACGGACAAAGCTGGAAAAGCCACTTTTCAATCTTTCAAGAACCATAACTTCTGAACGGTAAAAGATTTTTTTTAAAGTTTACAGACAATGATGGACACAAAGTGATGGCATAAGCTGACATGGTCTTCAGCCAGGTGAAGTACAAAAAGAATAATAAGAACTGCAAATGAGTTTCAGACACTTACCTATCTGATTGAATGCCACCAGTTGATTCTTTAATAGTCTGTTCCACAGTTTTCTTTTTTTTTTCTAAAGTTACATGGTGTATCCAACCTACAAATATATAATAACATTCAAAGCTTATTAGCAGGTCCTCCCCCACTTCATGATGTCTCCATCTGAAACTACTTTATTGCCCTCTTTTTAAATATATATAAATAAGGCCTAAAAAAGAATCTGTGTTTCCGGTATTATCATTTTTATAGGGTGGGTAGCCACCGTGTATCATCGAACAGCAGATATAGGTACTAACCAAGCGAGCATGATAGATTTTCAACTGACACGGTAAATAAAAATCTTTTTTTTTTATAGTTTTTATCAACATTCAGTGTACATTTCTCAACATCTGAAATTCCTGCTCCAAAATAATTTTCGCATTGATTTTTTCCTACATGTATTTATAAGACAACTTTGATATTCTAATACAGGGGTTCAAATTAGCTGTGGTCTGAGGTCTATGACCTTCCACTTTAGCCTTCGGACTTTCTTTTTTGTTACTAGTTAGGCCCGACAGATCTTCAAATTATTAGAAAGAAAATAAAAATTAACTTTGCCGACCTTTTGACCAAAATTTCCAAACGATATCAAAATTATTTTCATCTTCATTATTCATGAAAGCGATGTTCATTTTATTCAACCGCTAGCTTTATACCCAAAATCGTCAACACAAGAAATGTGTAAATCCAAGTAAACTCGTATCTGACTGACAAAAACAACATTGAAAACAACAGATGCCATAAACCAGAAATAAAGACAATTATTAAACCTGATCAGATTCTGGAGCAGATAAGGATAATTCCGGGTTTGCCAACCAAATACAATGAAAAAATAATAATTCCAGGCAGTTGACAAAATACATCTATAATAAATTATGAAAAATAAGAACTAGAATTTAAACTAAAGGCTCTCAAGAGCCTGTATCGCTCACCTGATTCTACCTGGGTTTTTGAAATCATATAAAAAAAAGATAAAATTTGGCTACAAAGTAACAACACTTGGCCAGCGCCTCATTTCGAAAGGAACATTTATGCTATGTTTGGTTTCATTCCATTCAGTAGTTCTCTAAAATTAGTCTTTTGTATGCATTTCCCATGGGGTCCTATGTTAAACTAAGTCCCCCGCTGGCGGCCATCTTGAATGATGGATCGGCTACAAAGTAACAACACTTGGTCAGCACCTCATAAGGAACATTCATGCCATGTTTGGTTTCTTTCCATTCAGTGGTTCTCTAAAAGAAGTCATTTGTATGCATTTCCCATAGGGTCCTATGTTAAACTAAGTCCCCCGCTGGCGCCCATCTTGAATGATGGATCGGCTACAAAGTAACAACACTTGGTCAGTACCTCATAAGGAACCAAGGATTTTTCTAGCATTCCACAGGGTCCAGTTTTCGGACCCATTCCCAACGGCAAAAACCCTACATTTTTCCCAATTTTGGGAGCAAAATTCCCAAACGATCACAAAATTCATTTCCATCTTTATTATTAATGACATAGATGTTTATTTTATTCATTGAACCGCTAGCTTTATATCAAAAATTGCCAACAAGTAATGTGTAAATCCAAGTTAAAACATATTGAACATTTTTAAACAAACAACATTGACAAAAAATGGCTGCCATAAATAAACAGGAAGTATGGGGGAAATACTAAAACCAGATCAAATCGGGAAACGGACAAGTATATAATTCCGGGTTTGTCAATAGAAAACAGTAAATAAAAAAATTAAAAGAACCAAACATGTGACAGCTGACTTAGCAACACTAAAATTGAAAACTAAAAGATATATAAAAAAAGAAAATAGAAACAGGATATATTTTATACAGAACTCACAATATTTCAGTTCACAAATTTTCATGTCAAAATAAAAAATGTAACAATCCTCAAGAAGTAAGAACTCATTATTTTGATACTCAAATGTCATATTGTTATATTTAAAAACAAAGAAGGTATAGTCCTTACTTTATTTTCACCAACAAAAAAATGTTTTTAATGAATTAAACACACTAAAACTAACATCAGGAATATTGGTTGTTTTTCCCAATCTCATTGAAAACCGCGTTAAAAAATTCCCAAAACTGGACAGGGTCCTTTTTCCCAAAATACCCAGATAAACCCCTGGGAACATTCATGCCATGTTTGGTTTCATTCCATTCAGTGGTTCTCTAAAAGAAGTCATTTGTATGCATTTGAACTGTTAAATATAATGGTATAATTAGTAACTAATTACAAATAGTTGAGACACTACACACCCATCCACAACGACACCCTCCCAAATACCCCCCCCCAAAAAGATTATTTGAATTGATAATATATACAAGACAATTACATTTTTTTATTAAACATGTTAAACAACAGTGATTTTGACATTGAAACCAGCTAAAATTAACCTAACACTAAAAACACATTAATATTGTATCTTACTGAGCTAGGAAATATTTCAAGTAAAAGTAGGACCTGGAATTTAGCCTTTTTTTATTTAGGTTGTGGACCTTTCAGTTTCGAGTGTCAAAGGTCCTGGACCTTCCAGTACCAAATGTTAGTTTGAACCCCTGTAATAAGAACAATTGAATAGCAAATGCGCAGATACATGTAGTTGTGAATGTCAACACCAACTTTCAATTTCGATACAATTGAGACATTTACATGTTTTACCTGAAAGAAAGCCAATACAGGGCAAAAAAGAATAGTTACCAATCATAAACCTACCTATGATTATTCATTCCTTGAAACCTTTTGGGTAGTAAACGAGTATGAAAATTGTGTATGGCATACAGCTACTTATTTTAAACTATGCACCGTACAAACAGATTTATGTGGTCAGCTAACCACCATACACAACGCTTCTTTTCAGAATAAAATATCAAAAAAATATATGCATGAAAGATTCCAATGCAAATGAAATTATTGATACAGCCATACTTAATGCACACGCACAGTGGCCTTCTATCAGAAAAAGAGTTGCAATAAATACAGAATTATATCGGATGAGACGAGTGCCAAATTCTTTGACAAGTTTTTGCACATGTTTTTAATATTCGTTCTTCTTTTGGGAAGATAATTAGACATCATTTATTATAAACCTACCAACAAATCATTTCTAAAAACAACAATTAGGTTTAGATTGACAGATTGAGGTACACATTGATATTATGTGAACAAAACAAAGATTTTCTATACCGTGTGAGGCAAAAATCGATCACACCTGCTTGGCTAGTACCTATAACCGGTGTTCTGATGATACACAGTCACTGAGTGGTAGCTTTAAAGTTAAATATCGTATACAACTACAAGTACATGATACTAGAAGAAAATTTCTTTGATTTTTTATTTGCTTAACAGTCAACAGAAATATATGGGCCAGTTTATTTTTTCTCTTCATTTTTTTTTTCTAAAGATCCCCCCTCTCCCCATTTCCCTCGAAAAAAATTGGTCCGTGCCTGTAAACCTCACCTGCAGCTTCCAGTATTAAATTCTTGAAAAAATACACGCGCCTCTTCTTAAAGCAGTTTTTCAATCGTAAACTCTCCCCAGCTATCGAAGCAAAGTAGCCAACCATTATCATACTGATGAATGTGGCCATCAAATGACGAAATTGCACTTGTTTCTTCTAATTTCAAAACAAAAATCGATGGCATATTAAAAATGTATCGATCACCGGAAATAACTTAAGCCACATAAAAAGAGGATAGCTTTATTACTTCTTAATGGGTAGTAACAACTCATAGAAAATACTCACTTATTTCGACGTTTTCTTCCCACCATTATGGCCATCAAAATTACTCGTAACTTCTCGGGACTTATCATTTACAAGTACCGATCACGTGATCAAAAGTCGCGAAAAATAGTTATATTGGCGCTCTTTTTTTCAACTGGTGTAAGGGGGGTAATTCAATTTCACCTCTCTTGGACTTCCATTTAATTGGAACTTTAAAATCCATATACAGGGAGTCTCTTTTTTAAAATGATTTTAAATAGTCCAAGTATGCTAAAAATAACTGTCCAACTTGGTCTCTTGTGTGGCTAGACCCATAAGAGAAAAAAGCCACATAAGTATTTAAAATACTAAATTGTAGCCACATATGTATGTGTATGTAAACGCGGACGGACAGACTGATCACTATAGGGCGTCCGCCATTCGGCGGGGCCTTAATAAGCATCATCTTTTTTAACCTCAACCATTCTATTATTTGACATATAGAAGGGCTGATTGGGGTTTACATAATAGAGAATAAATATTTATAACAACTTGAAAGAGGTTTTTTGAAAAAAGTGCAGAATAAAAGATAAAAAAAAAGAAAAATAAATAAAATACAGGGTGTCTAGATATAAAGAGATATACCATACATCTTTTGTTGGTGGGAGGTTTTTTTTTTAAACAATTTGATTGATTCTAAAGTGCTTGAAAAAAATATTTGTTTCAGAAGGGAAGTAAAACATTTTTTGTTTCCATTAATTAAAAGATAAAGAGAAAATTCAACATTTAGTTTTAAAGCAAATCTTGTTCCAGTATGTTATTGGAAAACAATGTTATACTATAAGTCGAACTGTTTTCCCCCCTAAACACATTAATGGTCAGTGCCCCAGTATTCAAAGCTCCAGAATCATCACTATGAACAGCCGTTATTAATCAATTATAGAATAAGACCGAAAATATATTTTTGCACTAATTTAGAAATATTAAAGTCATCATCACTTTAACGTTTATAGTAATATGTTTGACACTGCTATGGTAAGTATCCTATTCACATATTTCACCATGCAGTATAATTGTGTCTACAGCTTATATATGTATGGAACCATGCTGTGTTTTAATTATTAATACATATAGGAGAATTTACTTACATAAATGGGTATGAATAAAAGATGATTTTGGTTATACGTCTTGGTACAACAATCCAACAACACAGGAAAGTTCTAATTTCCAATGGTTCTAGAGGCGGATCCAGGAATTTTGAAAGGGGCGTAATTCCAGAAAACCGAATATATATATATACCGCCGAGCTAAAAATGATATATATTCCAATCTAATTGGGGCTTACGCCCTCTACCCCTTTTGAATCCAACACTGGGTCCCGCCAATTACGTCGGACCATTACCAAAATAATACCCTTTGGGAAATTTAACTTACCTGCAGTGTCTAGGGATTGACGTTATGCTTTTTCGCATCTTGAAATTTTCATAATCTAAAATTAGAATAAAACTGAAGAAACGACATACAATACACGAAGCCAATTATTCTCTTTTCCGTAAACCCTATCCAAGCTTGATATTTAAACGCACCTGTACAGACTGGTCATCTTTCCATAAGATGCTCTTGAAATGTATGGTCCTTTCACACACCTCGTGATCCCGGTTTACTAATTTTGGTGTTTCTCAGTCTTTAGATTTCTATGTTGTGTTTTGTGTATTGTTTTGTCTATTCGTCGATCTTCTTTTTTTTTGCCATGGCATTGTCAGTTTGTTACCGACTTATGAGTATGAAAATCACTTTGTTATCTTTCGCCCTTCTTGGAAACGCACAAGAATTAAATTTTCGCCAGGTTTTTTATTTACTTTATATATTACAATATTTAAGCTGCGTTACTTTTTAGTTCGTAAGTATATAGCAATTTTGCCTTCAACTAAATTAAACTATCTAGTGCCCGGTTTATTTGTATATTTGTCCTGGTAGTCTTTCAATGTTTGACTGTAAGAGTCGTTGTTAAGTATTTTAATAATTTCTCTTATGTTTTAGTAAATTGATACTGAACCATTCTTTAGCGTGGAATTTCGCGGTAAGACCATCATTTTTGCAACTTTTTTATAAAACAAAAACGTATTGTCATCACTTTTACAGGCTTGTATTATTTAGTGTATCACAAGGTGTTTTTTTTTCAGAAGAATCCTTTGCTGAAAAGTAAAGGGAGCACACCAATTTTAACCAACTCAACCCGTTTGACGACTTCAATTTTGATATATATAAATTGTTGTAAAAAATACGACCAAAAATATCGACAGAAATTCATTGAGTAATAACTAATTCAGATTCATTTATCTATTATCTCTTGATGTGTTTTGATTGTTTGTTTCGTTGTGTTGCTGTCTTGTTGGCGTATAACCACATCTCCTCTTTTTCATTTTAGTTTGAATTTGTATTGTATCTTAAACGTAAAAATACATTTCTCATATTACATGGTTCATTTCAAAGCAAAATAACTGTCGAGTATACAATTCAAAAAGTTGTGCTACATCTATTTTTTTCGCAAAAATCACACTTACATTTTTATCTAAATGAAGCTCGACCCACCATTCCTTTGGTATTCTAGTAGGTCAGCAAATAGTCCGTTTTTTTTACATCATCGTGTCAATAGAAAAACCAAAATAAGTTACGAATACGTTGATCTTCTTTAATAAAGCATTCCACTGTAATAATCGGAAAGTTTTTGGACCGCTTTTCGTTTTTTCATCAGAAAATGTTTTCCTGGTAATATTCTACATGTATAATTTTGTACTTGTATGTAATGTTGATACACATTTGCTAAACCTGTTGTGTTTTGATTTGTTTTATTCCATTTTTTGTTTTTGTTTTTTTATTTTCTTAATTCTTTTAAGAAGTAGCTTCACTGTGACGGATACTGAAATTCATATCCGAATTAGTTTAAGCAATAACTTATTTTACATCGTTTAATACTTACATTTGGGTTTTTCAGTTAAACAGCGGAGTCTATGAAATCAACCAACCGATAACACAGGCATAAATAAAACATACTAATAAAAGTATCTTTACAACATAAAAAGATAAAACAAAACAAAACAAAAAAGAGCAATAACGCGTATGTGTGTGTATTCGCGTCTAAGTATTCCTATATGAATGTACATGTATGCTCATATTTAATGTATGTTTTATTATGCAAAATTTTCATACGAAAAACATAATATCAATTGAACAGTTATGTTCAAACAATACTTAAGTGTTCAATAAATAAATATTAATAATTGTTATTTATAAAACATTTGAAAAATTAATAAAAGTTGCACTTACCTTTTTAAAAATCGCGCGCGAATAATTTGTCAATGAAATGTTTAAAATGACAATATGAATGAAATCGATGATTGATGAATTATGATAATGAAAATGAATGCAATTGACATAACAAATAAACAGTATAAAAACAAATAAATTATCGTAAAAATTAGAAGAAAAAATACGTCTTAATCAAATTACTGAGTGAAATTATGCTTAATTAAAAATTTATTGATTGAAAGAGAATTATACAAATCACCGGAAAAAAGTTCAAATATATCAATAAAAAAAGTTTCATAAATTAATCGATCATTTATCCACAGGCAAAATATCAATGAGGGTCAGCATGGGGTTTACAGCATAGAGAATAATAGGACAGTACTAAAGAAAAATGAGGCAAAAAAAAAAAGAAAAAGATTAGAGAAAAAAATAAAAAAAATTAAAGAATAGAGAATAATGGGGTGCTAAAATAAAAAGACTGGAGATTAATATGCAACATTTATAAAGAAAAGAGATAAATGGCTTAAAAAATGAAAGAATACAGAATTGAAGGAACCCCTTCAAACCCTCATTAATGACACATTTCTATCAAGGTGTTTATGAAATTGACATCTGTCATTTGTCATTTACACAATTATTACATATACGTATCATAAATATCATACTTACTATTGTTAGGTGGTATAATACTTGAAGTAATTGTAACATTATTATGCCCTGTCATTGTGTACAAAACACATCTACAATACATGGGTAAAAAATATACAGTAGACATTATTATTTGTTGTTGAGTAAACTTTGATTATTTTTTAATTTTTTTTTCGTTTTTTAGGACACCAAGAAGACCATCAAAAATTATAAGTTAGACAACAGGTCTACCACAACATGGCCAAATAAGAGCTGCGCAGTGAGCGCATGACACATCCGTTCCCCCTTTTTATGAATGAAGTCCTAATACTCCAAAACGTAAAATCATATTTTTTTTATAAATCAAGGGGGAACTTATATCAATATATTTAAACATTTCACGACAATTTCATTGAAATTGCTTAAAGCATGCCATTTATGAGTTATAGTCAGAAAACTGGAAAATCCCCCATTTTTTTATGAATAAACCCCCCTTACGCAAAAACGTAAAATCTAAAATTTATAAAAATCGAAAGAGAGCTTACGTCAATAAAAATTAACAGTTCATCAAAGTTTCATGAAAATTGGTAAACGCGTTTTTAACTTATTGTCCGAAGTGTTGACGACGGACGGACAGACGGACAACGGTATACCATGATACGTCCCGTAGACGGGCGTATCAAAAGACAACAACATTTTACAAAACACTACGCAAAGAGAAACGACTGAGCAACACGAACCACACCCTTTCAGTGAACTTGATGCCACGGTAAGCAGACCATTCTTTATTAGTGAAACCCTTCGTATTGCTCTTTGCGAACGTACACATTCGACAATAAATTTGCATTCGGTGATGCAATGATTTAGGAAAACATCATAAAAATTCGTATATAAAAAAAAAATGCAAAAACTTTCCTGGAACCATGCGTTCTCAGTGTGTTTGCTGCTGCTTCAAATACTATATCTTGATAATGAAGAAGCTGCTTCACAAATCTCATCAAATTCCATAAAGGTTTAACAAAGTTTATGAAATCTGAAAAATTTAACCCGCTGACTGAATTTAAATGTTAATTGAAAAAAAAAAAAATCATCTACCAGCATAGTATGGTAAATGGAAACACAAATTCTTTTCAAAATTTTGCTTCATCAATTATCTTGTAATCATTATCAGCATCTGTTCAAATTTCTAAGGATTCTAAGAAGGTTTGACATCTTAAAAACTAAGCCTTCAACTGCATCTTAATTTTAACTTTCCCAATGGCACTCAGTCTATTTATCAGAAAAATACAGAAAACTAATAATTAAATCTAACATTTTCTCTCGATACCGTTTTTTTTTTATTCAGAAAAAGCTCTTGTCTATGTTTTTTACCAATTCAACAAAGGCTTGCCAGCGTTATTGATGCTAAAATAAACTTTAACCACATACTCAACCCAACATATTGACGACTTCGACAACGGCGGTATATCGGATATATGTGTCTCGCTTCCGCGACTGTCATTGCAGGCGAGACATACACGTACAAGGAAAGGTGGTTTTCTTGCCAATGGACAACTAACCACGAAAAAACACGACCAAGATAAAAAAAAACAACTGCAAATCTACAATTACTTTCAACAATTTAAAAAAAAATCATGTCGTATGAAAAGCTATACAAGGCCCGATATGAAACAATGTGAAACATTTCAAAATAGAAAACAACAGCCTATTCAACAGCTGACTAATCTTAAAGTTTACGGTGATGTTGTTTACAGAGCCCGGGAATTTAGATACGACCGGGTAAACCTATCAATCCTTGGAATAATCTTACTCCAAAAGGTTACCAAATATTACAGTATTTTTTCCTAACGGAATAAATGGTATAGAATATTTGTTCCAACAGGAGCAGATATCATGATATTGTTTATAACAAAGTTTCAAGGCGTATCCAAGTAAACTTTATTAATTTTTAGATTGAATTTTATTACTAGTATCAGTGTTGTCTTTTAGATTGTCTTTTTTTTTGTATCATTATGGTAAATGTACTGACGATGTTTGACTGCATGGTTTTAAATAAAAGTAGAATCTGTATTCATAAATTCTACGACCTACACCATTTGTTGACCAATGAATCACGTGAAACATAAACAAAAAGGACAGACACAGAAAGGTCGAAAACGTCTTAAATAAATTCGATTTGGAGTTGAAACCTAAGATTTATCGCAATGTTTAATTTGATTTAAATAAAATATTTAAATAAAAACCAGACACGTTCCTTGTCACTTTGATTGTATTATTTCTTCAAACATCATAATAACATGTATCTTTACACCTAGAGTGTAAAAAAACAAAACACTACTGCAATCTAACACAATTTTATATTTACCTATATCCGTATGTGTTGTTGAATTCTCTACAGATACCAGTTTTACACGGGTTACTTATGCAAGGGGACATTATTCTGTCACAAGCTTGACCGACCATTCCAGTTGGGCAAATACACATATGTCCCGATCTTGTATCCACACATGTTGCATTAGCGAGACACGGAAGAAAGCTACAATCTTTTGATTTCCGTTCACAGAATGTTCCGACAAAGGGAGCCTTACAGCTACACGTGGCCTGTCCATTTAAATCTTTACATTTGCCACCATTAAAGCATTGCACGTGTTCACAAAGTCCAGTTTTAGTATGGACTGAAAAAGATTATCCAATTGTTACTGAATAGTTTAGGTTTGTCATGATTTCCAAAAAGCAACATTCTCACATTTGTAACACTTTTCTCAACAGCACATGCTACATGTAAACAACAAATTGATGCAGATCCAGGACCCCCCCCTCTCCGGCCCATACCACGACAAGTCAACATAAGGAGTGGGGCTTGTTAAAAGTTTATACACTAACCATATATAAAGCTACATAAATGCGGGCCAAGGCCCCCTGACCACTCAATCCGATTCTGCAATGTAAACATTATGAAGTTACAAAACATTTTGCTCCCGGTTTTGGATGAAGATACAAAAACGTATTATGGCTCGTAATGTAACGATTACTTGTACAAGCAACCATACAATTTCCTTTTTGATTTATTCTTTTTAAGTTTTAAGCTTTTCTACGGGTCCGTAATATTAGAATAAAATCTGAATATTTTCAACAAATTCAATTCGACATGCTCTATATGTACCGGCGAAAATTTCACAGCTTTGTAGTAATTTCATTTGATTTTTACATTTATCAAGGAAGTGATTGCGATATAGTTGGAAAACCTCCAAATAAACGTCATAATGGTTATTATTTAACTTCTTTTAGTCGAGCATGCAAAGTCACGTTTATCAAGATTTTCTGATTTTGCGTTAACATGATCTATTCAAGTGGTCACACGCTAACAGTTTTATCAAAGACTATAAAATTTTTTTTTAATTCATAATTGAGAATATATTTGAATTCAAATTTTAACGAGAAAAAAAAAAAACAAAATAAAATGAACACAAAGTAATAAAATATACCACTGTATGGGAACATCAGCATTTCGTTAATTATAAAAATGTGGTTTATCTGAAGACACTTACACTTGTCTACATTAGTAACAACACGTGACTGACAGTTTGTTCCACGATAACCATTTGGACACAGACAACGATACGCCATTCTGCTACCATGAAGAGCTTCACAGAGGCCAATTCCACACTGCGCTTTATCACAGGGATTAACAGCAATGTCAGTTTCACAGGTTGAACCTAAGATGAATAGAAGCCTACATTAAATCAAAAAGGGATATTACTTTTTCTGCTTTTAATGAGAGGTTTCTGGGTGTTTATTTTTAAGGGATTGTGCTTTTTTTTTTACTTTGGGGTTTCTATTTTTTTTCGGTTTTGTTTTTACGTTGATTGGGGGGATTTCTGTTTTCATACATTATCCACATATGAGTGGATTTTTGTTTTCTGTCCATTATCAACATTATCCACATATGAGTGGATTTTGTTTTGTGTCCATTATCAACATTTTCGCTTGCTAACAATAACTGGAAACATTCGCTGGTAGGGAATTATATACTTGTGTTTTGTTTTGATCTGTATCTTCTTATATTCCAGTGATGAAGTGTGTGGGTAGCGTACGCATTTAAACAAGATTAACCCTGAAATTTTACAAAACATAATGCCAGTGTTGTGTGAGAAAAAAATATTTAAAAAATTACATGCATTCAAATATTGAATGCAAATAAAAAAAGGATCTCCCGAGGCTGGTTAAGTATCATAATTTACCGGAAACCAAAGTTCTTAGTGTTCTTGCTCAGATAATTTAATTAAATGCACTGCGTTGAAAAATACCATTGTTAATTCATTATTTGCATTAAAGATCAATGCGTTTGTAATTTGGTTGTATTCTTGTTTACTCGTTCTAACGGAAACATAGAACGAATTTCTTTTGTGAGAAATTGATATACAGATGATATATTGAGTCAAGTGAAATAGAGTGGATCGAATTAATCAACTGGAGACAATAGACAATCGTTTAATTTTTCCATTGGGACGAAAGTCTATTGTCTCGACATTCATAATCATGTATGACATAAATATATTTTTAAATGATATTTTAAACTAAGTGCAATGCTACCTGTCCATCCTTCCTTGCATTCACATTTGTATGTATTGTTAGTGTTGATGCATTTTCCATGAAAACAGTTGACATTTTCACAGTGGTCTACCATGACATCACAACTACTTCCGGTGAATCCATTTTCGCATTCACATGTGTGCGTGTTATTCAGATTATTACATTTACCATGTAGACAATTCACCTCGGCACAGTTATCAATAATATCGCAATTCCTTCCGGTAAATCCCTTTGAGCATACGCAGTGATAGGTTGCGTTAAATGAAGAGCAAACGCCATTTGCACATGGACGATGTTTGCATGGGTCTTCGGGAATGTTACAATTTTGACCTGTGAAACCGTTTTCACATTGGCACAAATAATACCCGAAAGTTTCCAAACAAGATCCATGGACACATGGATTAGGATTACAAAATTGTTGTTTATGATCACAATTTTTTCCAATGTAATCTTTCTCGCATTTGCACGTGTAATTATAGCGAGATGTCACATGACAAATACCATGTACACATGGATTTTCTGCACACTTCCCAAGGAACTTTTCACATCTATTTCCCAAAAATTCTTTTGAACACTGACAATGGTAGCCATTTAATTCGTCGACGCATGTTCCTCCAAACAGACAAGGTTCATTTACACAGTCGTCAATGTTTGCCTCGCAGAATCTTCCAGACCAACCATTTGGACAATTACATACATATGACCTGTTTGTCACATTGCATACTGCACCATTCTGACATTTGTGATTTTCACATGGGTTCACTAAAAATGACAGAAAAATTATTGAAATGAAAAATGATGTTACGATTGTTCACTTCAAAAATGACAAAAACAAAAAACAAAAACAAAATAACAATAGTTTGCATAAACTAACGTACAATACGATTTGGTTAGTGTCTTATTGTCTGCTTGTCCAGTGGCAAGTATTCAATTCATTTTCAGGACGAAACCAAATAAAAAATATATAGAGAATAAAACAAGCAGACACTGCGAAGTTGGGATCTTGATTGATGAAATAAAGCAACTTTTCAACATATAAATTCGTTATTTATTCATAATATGATTTGCCATAATATTTTCAGCGATCTCTGAGTATGCATAGAAACATGATAATCTGGTCGATAATCTGGAAGTAGTATCCAGCGTATATGTAAAAAGGATCTTACCAAACTGGTACACGGCTTTGAAAGCCATTGGGACGGATCCAGTTTTGTATGTGATGAAGAGCGAGTTAGCTGTAGATTTCCTGACCTTTAAAGCACTTCCGGTTCGTTCACAGAAACGTCCAATCACGGGAGCTGCCACTGTTTTGCCATCATGCAATGTAATGCCATCCCCATTATAAGTACAAACGTCTCTTCCAAAATATACTGTGGAAAAAGTTATCTCAATTTTGTGTCCAGGTGGCGCTTCCAACTTTAAATAACACTGTATATTTCTGACAGCTTGATATGGAAATCGAACTGAAGCTATAGCTGTGGGAGTGTAGTTCATTGGTATGATTGCATTACATGGCCAGGCTATTAAGATAAAACAAATACGAATTAAAAAAAAGAAAAAGGGTATACGTCAACCCAACGACACAAAATAATGAAAACACTAGGTGGTTTAACTCGTTAAACAATTGAAACATTGCAATCGACATTGAGTAATCTATCTTTTATCATAATTCTAAACGCTGCATCTCCTCAAAGAACGTTGGTGTGATGAGATCTATATAGTTGGCTGATTAATTTAAAACTATTATCCAAACAATACAATTCATTTCCCAACTCATCATGTGTGCCTTATAGAGCGACCATTTAACTTTATTGGAGAATGTTACTTTTTTTTCTAAAAAAAATGTTCTTATTCCAAAGGTTGAAGAACAAATTGTTTGATAAAGGAGAAGGAAAAAACAAATTGTTTAGCCACTAAAGTATTTATTTCTTTTTTTGGCACTATGCTTATGTGCGGAGTTTCGAGTTCTAGTGTGTAATTTGCATCGGTCATGAAATATTGCAAAAATTAATTCTAATTTCATTTTTTTCCGGATGTATGGTGCAATTAATTTCTACTGAACTGTATTTTGTGTGTGTGTCTGTGCACGTATGGAATAAAAAAAAATATATACATTTTGCCACACCTTTTAAATTAACCTTTAGTTGAGATCTTTAATTCAAATATTTTAAAATTGATTAATGCAACATATTTTCTTATGTGTATACAACTATGATATACGTACAGGTAAAAAATTGATAGTGATCGTACAAAGGTGTTGCCATTATGGGAGCAGACGTTTTTGCATTGTTGCTATGGTACTTGTTGCTAAGGCCGCATGCTGTCAGTTGGTTGCTATAGGAAAACGATAGACATCCGGTCTGAGCACTAAGAAGACAAAGATGAGCACATTGTTCTATAGTAACATTTCTTTTAATGTCGAAATAGCTTCCTTGGTCCTTCAGTGCGGTATTAGGTTGTCCATGAAAAAGATTCTTGAAAGTACCTGTAAATATATTTGTAAAATTACATTTCAAGTGATTTCAAAAAAACATTTGTAGTTCCTATGTTCCTGCAATGCAGTATCACATTGTTCCTGAAACGAATTTCTGAAGATCTTTGGGGTTTCCAAGAAATTTTTTTGAGTACTGTGAACCAACTTATTTTCGCAATTATCCCTTTCTAGCCGATTTCGCGGCGATTTTTTTTCGCGATTCTCAAATTTACTTTATGCAGTTAAATATGGAAAAATCCAAGGTTTACATATTCGCGACAATTTATATTCGCGACAATTTATATTCGCGTTATTTTTCTACTCGAGAAAGTCGCGAAAATAAATCGCTCGCGAAAATTAGTTGGTTTACAGTAATTAATTGAATGTTCTTTCAACTACATGTATGTTTAAAGTTACATGAATGTATTACAGTTTATTTATTCATATTAATTTCCAGAACTTTTAAAACACACAAGAAGACGTTGTAAATTAACAACAAACAGATTTCATTTTAGTCGATGAAATTGAAAATTTCGAATTGCTCGTATATTCAAGAAAAAATAACAATTGAAAAATACTGAAATTTGTTATATCAATATTTACGGGAAGATAGTTTGAAACGGCAAGCTATGAAATATTTAATGTACAAATGTACATAGTAACTTTAATTTGTATAATTTGAAAACAAGGAAAAACGTCTTTGAAGTCAATTTTGAAATATCATTTTCTTAATAAATAAAATTCGAAATTCGAAATTTAAATAACATTTAATTTTTTCGATTTTGAAAAAAAATCGGATTACATTTATGCAGAAAATGTTTAAAAAACAACCTATATTTGCTTGTTTTTCGAAAAAAGTTTTTTTTTAAATCTCACTTGCATTGAAAACAAATATTTAAATTGATAACCTCATTCATTTTTCATTTTGACAATTAATGTTGAAAATGACAATGCTAAAATGTTGATAATTTTCATCCCTTTTCATTTTTAATGGAAATTTCCGTGGTCAAAATGAAAAGTGTTACACATTGAGTTTTTTTTTGTTCTTCAATTTCTAAAGGCAAAACGAATAATGCTGAAGGTAGGCAATTTCAATATTTATTAAGAGATTGATAAACGTTAAAAAAAAAGAATAAAAAAAGAAGACAATACTTGAACTAATGCAAAACTGAAAAAAAAATCTGCATAAATTTAATCTTATTTTTTAATATCTTTGCTAAATCTAAGAAATTCAATTTCAGTCAAATGTCTAATTTTGAAATTTATTAAGAGAATGACATTTTAGAATTGACAAAAAACAAAGATTTCAAAATTATTTTATTTAGTATTTTGATTGCAGAGCAATTTGCAAATTATATTTTGCCAAATAATGACAAATGTTTGGCCTTAGTAATGGTACTAGGACGAAACTAAACATTGTTTAGGGGCCAGCTGAAGCCTGCCCCCGGATGCGGTATTTTCTCGCTGTGTTGAAGACACATTGGCGGCCTTGGGCTGTCTTCTGCCCTTTGGTCGGGTTGTTGTCTCTTTGACACATTCTCCGTTTCAATTCTCAATCTTATTAATAGGTATTTTTTTGTTAAATTCTGGAACAAACATACGAGATACTGTGGAACAAAAGTTCAGACATTTCCTTAAAATCCTAATTTATTCATTTTCCTAAATATTTCTTTGTCTTTTTTGTTAATCTAAGACCATCGAAAACCTACGATCAATTGGACGCAAACAACACCACAAAGTTTTCAATATAGCACTTTAGGCATCAGTATCACACGATGGCTTTCGCCGTAAATTTGTCATAAGGTGAACACTCAAAAGCTTTGCGTTTTTGTCTTTTTGCGTTTATTTTTTCTACATTGCGTTTATTTTTTCTACATTGCGTTTTTTTTTCTGCATTCGCATTTATACTTTTTCGTGCATCTGGCCAACATTGTATCATACATGTAATCTCAGATGCGGATCCAGGATTTTGAACAAAAGGCGGGCTTACCGACAAGGTAACGTTAGGAGTGAGACTTGTAAAAAAACCATGCATTAACCATATATGGAGCTCTCCTGCCCCTACCCATGCACCCTGCCCACCCCCTTATTATGTATTCAGTATTTCTATTCCGTTACTGACTATAATTAGTCCCGCCAATCGTATTTGCATTATTATATCAAAAGTAGTTCATCAGAAATGTAAACACCGTGTTTGTTGTCCATCCATGTCTCAAACACCTTTTCCGCCTCTGCGGCTCTTTTTCACAAAAAATCTAAAGAGAAAAATACTCGTAAGTCCATACACATTTCAGTATAACTTAGTATATAATACGATTAATTTTAATCGTAATTTTTTTGTGGGAAAAGTGTCTTACCTTTAGGTCTCTCGTAGTAATGTACTGCTTTGTTCTGTTTCAAACTGAGATAACCAGCATTTAGCATTAACGTTGTTATATTGGTATAAATACACATATTACTACCGGGAGTGTATTCAAACGCATAGCATGGAAAATGTCCACTCCGGAACAATAAGGTACACTTTGCAGCACAGAGATTTACACTCATTCGATCCGGACTTGTGTTGTCTTTTAGAATGGAGTTCGCTGGAATAGGTGCTATGAATCTTGCCGGCACATGGACATATTCGCTCAGTGGATCTTCTGAAAACAAAATTTTATTAAGTCCTTTTAAAGAGAGTAAATTCGCTACCCGTGTTTTCACTTTTAAATATTTCAGCCCCTAGGCTTTTTCGAATGCTATACAGTAAAAAATGTTAACCAAAATTCCATCTGTACTTGAGGTACATGTATACAATAAAGTGTATATGATATGGTTTTTTTAATAGCACACACCGTTTCAACCCTCAACTAATATAGTCCCTCGAGCAGAGTTCTTGGGATTATATTGGTGTCTCGGGTTGATACAGGTGTGATATTTAAAAAGCCATATGATATTCTCTATTTATTGGTGTTTATGTTATGATCTTTTTATCATAGGCTTCAACAATGGAGAAACATAACAGTTTAATATAGTGATTCCTTTAAGTGGTTCTCAAATAGAAGTTCAAAAAATGAAAAGTTTACGGACGACGGACGCCAAATATAATACAACCGACATTAAATCTTTCTATCATATGCCTCAACAGAGGAGAAAAACAACAGTACAATATAATTTTATTTGACGATAAACACTGTTTAGAAGTCAACATTTGTATAGTAACTTGCTAAATTATGCTGAAAACTTTGAAAAATGCATTTATTGTATCATTTGTTTTGCATTTTACATACTATATTTTCCTGTTTCCTAATATTTGTTTTGTACCCTACTTTGTTATGGTTTTTTTTTTCGCCGAAAACGTACCATTATGGTGTATTTTTCGGAGTTTGCCGAGTAACGTCGGAATGCCATGCGATAATGTTACGGAAAGGTATGCGATAACAGCAGGAAGCAGTTGATAATTTTTTTATATGAGCCCACTAAGCACCATTTCGGAAAATATGGAATTCACGTAAATTTAATGCTATTATCATACTGTAAAAATTATAAGTTATTTACTCTAAGTATATGATAATCTCTATTTATCGGTGTTTCCGCAGTCTACATCACTCTGCTCAGCTCTTCATAAAATTGCATATCACGGCTTTGTGACGTCATATACGTTGAACTGGCCATAATAACTTTGACCCGGACAAATTACCTGAATGAACCGACGTTGATAAGTTTGACCCGTACTTATCACGTCATCTTGGAACCACTTTGTTGGTTAAACAAAGAAAAACACTTGTTTCTATTATGCAAATAAACAAATACAATCCGATAAATCGATTATCAGGTTGTCTGGATATTGATATTGTAAAATATCAGCTGCTCGACACAATATGAAGCCTTTTTGAACTCGTTCGCTGCACTTGCTCGAAAAAAACTTCATATTGTGACTCGCATCCCTTTCTTTTTTTTCCATTACTTAGATTTTTCTACATTACATATGAAAAGGTTGTCTTTTAATCAATTGTTTGAATTTAGATTTCTTTAAAAGGATGGTACATGTACGTGTCAAATGGAGTGCGAAAACAGTTTGTTTCTGTCGAAAAATAGTGGGGAAAAAAACACTATTTATTTTTTTTATTAATTTTTATTCCTGACATATGAACAAAATAATATATAACAGAACACATAAAAATGACAGAAATATGCAAATAAAAATTAATTTGTTCGTTAACATTTAATCTTAGTCAAACTGAAAAAAAGAAGTGATCTTTGGTATAACATTCAAATCATAAAACAAAGAGTCTTACCTTCTGCAACCAAGGGACCCAAAAAAGTAATGATTAAGATCAATAAATTTAACGCCATGTTGAAATAAATAGAAAGGGTCCTAGTCATATGAAATTGTCTACTTTATATACAAATACTATCTTTACGGCAGGTGGATGATTACTACCACAAGTTTAATCTATTTTAATGTGAATATCAGAAAGCATGTATTTCTTGTCAGCTGTTATCTTCTCTGATAAAAAGGGGGAGGGAAGATAATAAGAAGGAGGGCAATCATACTGAAAAGTTAAGTCTAAGAAAAACAGAAATCGATGAAAAGGTTACTAACATTTATGTCAGGATTCGCTTTCAAATACCACTGTACATTGTCTTTAAAGTGGCTCACCCCAAAAATAACCTCCGGTACATTTTTTGTAGTGTTCACATATTTTGTCGTCGAGCATTACCATAGTAGGTATAGTGTCCGGCTGGGATTGTGTTTTATCGAGTGATTTGATCAGGCATTTTCGAGGGTGACCACGTTTTTTCGAGTGAATATGATCAAAAATGTAAACAAACAGACTTTATTTCTGGTAGGACATAAAAAAAAAAAAGATGCTATAACTTTATATAAAAGATCATAGAAGGTAAATAAGTATTTGTGATAAAAATATATTATCAACCCTACATTTATTTGTTTTAACAACGTTTAATTTAAGCCTTACAATGCGTTATTCCAAAATATAGGCTATTTTTATACACATAGCAATGCAAATATCAACGGAAATGCATTTATGGAATCTGTATATACTTAAATAAACAAACACTTACAAAAAGTCTTGTGTTTGCATTGATAAGGACATTTGTGGTGAGTAAATTCATTTTTATATGTCCGTATTTTTCTGAGAGCAGTCCGTGTTGTTTCGAGTGCATCCTTGTTTTATGGAGTGAAAAAAAATCGTATGGCTTAAAACGTAATACAGTGCATTTGCGTATAAGAACTAACGAAAAGGTTCAAAGAAAGTACTTTTCAAAGCACGAAACAATGCACTAAACCAGTTTGATAATGCAGTATTAACATATAAAAATAAGAAGATGTGGTATGATTGCCAATGAGACAACTCTCCACAAGAGATAAAAAGACACAGAAATCAATAACTATAGGTCACCGGACGGTACTCAACAATGAGCAAAATCCATACCGCACAGTCAGCTTTAAAAGGCACTGAAATGACAAATGTGAAACAATTCAAACGAGAAAACAAACGGCATGATTTATGTACAAAATAATGAACGAAAAACAAATATGATATACAGCAACAGACGACAACCACTGAATTAAAAGCTCCTGACTTGGGACAGGCACATACAGAATGTGGCGGTGTTAAACTAGTTTGATAGCTCGAACCCTCTACCTAACCTGGGACAGTGGTGTGACAGTACAACACAAGAGCAAACTATAAAAACCAGTTGAAAATGGATTAACTCATCAGATCGATACAAAGCAGAACACATCTAACGAAGACACAGACTGAACGTGCCAGTGTATCTATACATCCCACAACAACAACAACAACAGTAAGTAGAGATCTGAGGCCATCCTATTCCCTTAGTTATAAACAATTTCAGACATTTTAAGCCTTTTCTTTTTAAAAATGGGTAATGTTTTTTTTCACGGAAATCTCTAAGATTTCTTGTAAAAAAAGCAGAATGTAATACAAGGAAACATGAAATGATCAATATATCGCGTATAAAAATACCATTTAGTAATTATCCGACTAAAGGATCAACATAACCGAATGGTTCCTTTCTCAATATCTGTTGATTTCACTCTCTCTCTCTCTCTCTCTCTCTCTCTCTCTCTCTCTCTCTCTCGTTGGATAAAAACCGCAATTTTTATACGTGTGCATGCAAAACAAATTTCTTGTTAGAGGGGTCTAAATACAGCACAAACAACATTTTTTTTCAAAAGACCAAAACAGTGGAAAAGTATATTTTAACAAAACGCATTTGACTAACAGGCCGAAAAACTGATGTTCTTTAACCCTGCTGACTGCCATTGACGATTGACAAATAACAAGATATGTGAGCAATGAAATAGTAGAAAGTGTGCGGTCAAATCAATCATGAAAACAATCACCATCAAAATAGAAGAAGTGAGTAACAATCAAGACGAAACTAGTCAATCGTCAAAGTCTGTGAATATAAAACACAAATAGTACAACTCATGATTAATTACAATCCGTGATTAATCTATTTGAAATCAAAACACAAATATGAATTAGATATAACTTCATCTTTATTCTAAAGTAAATTCAAATAAGAAATAAAATGCCAATTACAAAATTATATCAATATGTATTCAATAATGAATAAATACACGCTAGCACATGTTCTAATGTTGTGCTGTTACAACACTGTCCCAGGTTGGGGAGAGGGTTAAGCGCTTGCAATAAGTTTAACGACACCGCATTATTTTTTATGGTTTTTGTTTTGTTTGAAACAAATGCAGAGTTACTTCTCTTTTCGTAGATATTTACTACCATCAAATAGTGTTACTTGACTGTCGTTCTATAGTTGCTAACATACACTTCTTTTGGTCTGTGTTGAAAAGTTGTCCCATTGGCAATCATAAAACATCTTCTTATTCTTATATGTTTAAGAACAGATCTAAATCAAACGACGTTTGTTTTTTAAATGTATTCTTCTGGCGAATGTTCATTAAACAACCGCGAAAATTAGTGGGCTAACAGTATAGCTGCATTATTAAATGTTACTAAATAAAGCTGTCTTTTTGTCTGCCTTCATGCTAGATGAAAATGGTCCTCCACAGGATTAAACCGTATAGTTTTATTCTGCTTTACTCTCAGGTAGTTTTTCATTAGAAAAAAGACATAAATTAAGGATTCTAACTGACGATATCTGGATATGGATATTAAGTCAAATCGTAACAGGAAGTTGTGAAAATATTAAAAAACAGACACGGATAAAAAATAAACAATGTTAAAATGTTCAGGCTTTAATTAAATCTTTATTTGGGTAAGTTGATGCAAGCATACGATCTGTATTGTGTCTTATACTGTTAGACGCAAATAATGTTTAACGACTATATTATAAAAATGTGTAAACACGTTAATTATGAGCTATGAAAGTCCAGAAGTTAGTGTATTATTCTGAGTAGGATTAAAAACAATTTTTAATTGGAGCTTAATTAACGCTAAATCAATTTGCAACTAAAAATTAAAAAAAAGTTACTTTATTCAATTATAAGGACTTAGTTAGCCAAATCTACTAATTTTATTCAATATTATGAATTCTTATGACAATAGATAAACATTCTACATAAATGAATGCTATCTATTCATCATTACCTAGTACAGGCCTGATACTATATAGCATTACCTATAGATAAATATATACTGAATTAAATGACCGATGCAGCACCTTTGTGCCAACCATTTTTTTTATAAGAGTACACGAAAACATAGCACAAATTAATAGTAGTTGCTACATATTTACATAGAGGCAGCGAAGACTCACTGTCGCATAATAACGGGTCCAATCCCGCATAAGAAGAAACAAATAATTCTTACCGCATACCGCAAATTTTGCAGATCTAACAAATTTGGACTAAATTTAATCCACCATTTCCGTCGGAAAATGCTGGTTCCAAGTCGGGAATATGCCAGTTGTTTTCATTTCGCTTCTATTGTTGATACCGTTTGATAAGGTCAGCTTTTGTGAACTGATAATTACACTATAAGGTACAAATTCATAACTATTTTAAGGAAATGATCTTTTATCTGAGATAAATTTAAATTCATTCTACGGATGTTGTATCGCTCGCCAGTCGATTTGAAAACAACAGATTCAACCCAAAATATTAAACTGAGCGATTAGCTCTGTCAGATTAATAAATGGATATGAAACTTTTGTCAGTTATATTAAAAAGTAAAATAACAAAAATACCGAACTCCAAAGAAAATTCAAAACGGAAAGTCCCTGATCAAATGGCAAAATCAAAAGTTCAAACACATCAAACAAATGGAAAACAACTGTCATATTCCTGACTTGGTACAGGCATTTTCTTATGTACTTTATGTTCCTTAGGATACACTTCTAGAATAGAAACGTTCTCCGACAAAATATTTTGTTCAGAATTAGGTTTTGCAATTTAAGTAAAGTTAAGGGACAGGTTCTTTAATTGACAAAACTCTTTCTCTTCAAAACGTTGAAAGACATCAATTTTGAATATGTATGGTGTTTAAATTGTAATGATAGGTTAAAAGATAAGGGAAACCAAATAAGACAATTATATAATAATGAAATAGGTAAACGATTAAAAATGAACAAACACTAGACCGTAAAAATGTGAAAGGAGATCGCGAATTTTGTTTTCTTCTACAACAACCCTGTCAATTCCTCTGTATTATTATGTTGGTATTTTTAAAACCGTACTTGATAATGATGTCGTAAACATGGGAATTTATGACAAAGAGAGTCCCTTGATGGCGCAACTTATACACTGTATGAAATGAAAGATTTTCTTATTTGTCTTTATTTCACTACTAACCATTAATCGGATTATTCAGTACTACAATATTGGTTTAGGTTATACGTTTTCTTTTGCGAATGTAAGTTGACTCGCAGTCTTCGAGATGACCCTCTGACCAGTAGCTGTTGGTCAGGGTGCCATGATTTAAATATCAAAATTAAATCATTTTACTAAAACGTAATCTGGAACTACCTCGGAGGAGGTTTTCCTTAGACGATTTCAGCTGTTCCGTAAAGCCGATTGTATGTTATGACACCTTCGTACGTCTTCGGTATTGGCTTGTTAACATTCTAAAACGTTAAGTCGCCATTATTTTTTTTTCTTTCATAAACATGTGACATGTCTACAAAAATCACTATCATAATTCTTTTCTTTTTTTCTTTTCCTTTCTCATTTGTTAAATTTAATAAAAACGATACATAACCTTTAATGAGTAAGCCTTTCTAATTTTTGATTCAACCGATCCCACTAATGTGAACATTTACAATTGTAGTCATACAGATTGTTTATATCTTGTATATGACATTTATTTTTCATTTGGCTATTATTAACTGTAATACATCTGCAT